CCCCAAAACCCCAAAACCCCAAAACCCCAAAACCCCTAGCTCTTAAATCTGCAAAAAGTAAATTTAGGAAGAAATTAACAGTATATTAAACTATATTACATTACTTATCATTCTCCTGGAGCATATTTTGCGGCCATACCCCCTATCTGAGCCATCTACTATATTGATAACTTGTCTTTAGCTTAGGAAAATAAGAAATTTCCTAACTTCTATTTATGATCTTTCTCACACTTGCTATATCCCATCAAGTTAGTGGAAGAGAGGACAAAACCAAAGAGGCATATAGTCACATTGGCAATACTAAAAGATAGTATTGACACAATTATGAAAATCACCCAGATAAAAGGAGTCCCATACGTAGTTATCCAAAACACTCTTGAATCAGCTTTATTTTGGCTTTCTATTTAAATCATCATTAAAAATTGAATTACTTTCTTCCAGTGATTCAAAATACCACTCCTCAGTACCATCATCTAAGATTTCACTAGACCATCTCAACCCAACTAGTATCCTACAAGTATTAATAAGTTTCGAATGTTAAAAATCATGAATTTTATAGTAATTTGTCTGATTGAGAAAATATACAAACTAATTGCACAATATTTTTCCTCAAGGAAGATCAAATAAATTTGACTTACCTGCCAGTAATGTTTTTACTCACATAGAAATCAATAGCTTGAGTAATTATCACTACAATGTAGACAAGTATTAGATTACCAATGAATATATTGAGAAGTAAATAGCTAGTGAATGCTATTAGCTTGAATATGAATTATAGTATGCAAATGCTAGGATGGCTAGATTCTTTGATAAATTTAGGTAAGCGATCTTTTAAATATCGCTTATCTGAAGCTTTATCTGAACTGCTTCCCATGCCCTACTTATCAGAATCCTTTGTGTCGTTCAGTGGATCACTTAGTCTTTATTTTGGTTCATTCTTATAATCATTCGGAATATGCGGATTTTAACTAATTACAGACTACCTCTCGAGTTGTATGTTGAACTCAAGATCAACATCTTCCATCATGTTTATTTTAAATTTTATAGTCAACTATATTCTTTAAATTAATCAACTCTGGGGTTTTGGGGTTTTGGGGTTTTGGGGTTTTGGGG